ATAAATAAAATTGTCTAATATAAAAAGGGTCAAAAACGAATACATTGTTACATACAGTTTTTGCAACTAATTGCTTGCACATTGTTATCAAGAATTCTGTTGCCACTTTCCCTCATGTCATAGAGTATGTACAATTATTTCATCAAGAAATAGTCGCTAATGGAGATTTTATTTAATGTAAGTTGAAAATTAAGATTGGAAGTCGAACTGTTTGTTTCACATTTTTAACTAAATTTCACAGCTTTCCAGCATGTGTGCAGTCTTGATTTCCAGTTTATCTGAAAAAAAACCAGAAATAAAGATTAGTCATTGATCAACACATAATTTTAGTCAAAATGATGTGACAATTGTGGCATAGAGTCGAGCGTGACTGCTCTCTGTGCCAAAGATTTGGGTTCAAACCCATCCAGAATATGTCACATATATCAGATTTTATTTGATCATTTCTTGAAAAGCAGTAATAGCAAACCATCGAGGGTATCTTTGCCATGACAACATCTTCTAATAGGCAGTTTGGAACCGGCAGCGTTAAAAAACTGTAGGTTTTATATATTAGTGGACATATGCCAAAAAAGTTTACGTCTCTGACAAGAGACAATGGACTTTGAGTCGAAATAAGATTTTGCATTATAAAGATGTCTGGTTAATAGTAAACGCTACGCCTAGAAAGTCGTCGTAACGAGAATCTGATTTCCAATTTGATCTAACATGTTTGTGCAGTGACAAACACAAATAAAAAATGTTGGTCACGAATATTTACATGTATATCTTATTTATAATATAAATAAATTCTTAATATTACTTTATTCTATTATAATAATAATTATTATTATTATTAATGTTAATAATAATAATAAATAATTTATTAATATCATTAACTACATACAACTATTGCTAATAATAAGAATATCACTCACAAAATTTGTCCAGAATTTATTCAGTATCTAAGAATTACTTAGAACTTTTCTTCTTCAAGACCGTGTTTAAAGAACATGAGTACAGGCACAGATTCGCCATCAATCTCACGGTATTCCATAAGACCTACGATTCCATCAATATCCATTGAAATACCAGTGAAAAACTGTAATTCTTTGAACCGGCCTAAGATGTCCTTCATGACTTTGTTCATATTTGTCTTAAACACCTCTACTTGATCAGGTGCCTTTTCTTCTAGCTTTGCTACTAATCTAGAAAAAGAATTTAACAAATATATTTATATATATATAGAATATGTTCTATTTGTGAACATACATTTTTATTTATATAAATAAAAAAATTCATACAAATGTAACTTATCTTGATTCATCAACTTTAAAAGCTTTTATGTTATTTCTTAATCCTTACAATATTTTGTATAAATAATAACATGATGTGAGATAGATATATTTTCAATTGTATATATTACAATACTAGCATTTTTCATTCTGTTTTGCTATTACAACCAAATAAATGGAAATCTATAAATCTATATATAAAGATACTTACTTCTTCATGTAATCTTTGAGGTACAACGTGTAAGACTTTTTATCTCCAAAGGCAAATGTTTCCTGAAGGCGATGATTTAATACAATGTCTACGCCAGACTCTACCGCTTCGTCTGTACCTTCATCAGCCTCTTCCAAAGATGGATTGAAACCAGCGATTTCAATATCACCCGCCTTACGAGTAACTAACTATAAAAATTAATTTTAAAAATGTTATGTTCATAAATATTATATATACAATATATATATATATATATATAGATGTATATACCTTGCCATATACTTCATATAATACATCGTCTATTAGCTTGATTTTGTAAGTATCAGAGAACATCTCATCTCCTAAAATACATAAAAAATTTTGTAATCCTAGGCTTAAACATCTTATTTTGTACGGAGTCTAAATTCCATAATTTTATGGTAACTAAACGAGTACATTGCTCCTGTAATCCTACGAATCTTCGAGAACATATGGAGAGGTTAGGAATTTAATAGTCATTTTATACGGAAAATGAACTATAATATAATAATCGTGCTAATACGTCGTGCAACATCGAAGCCTATGAATGTAATTTTGCACAGAGAAATGCTGCAGGAATATTTTTCAATATCGCTGTGAAATGCTATTATCATTTAGGCATTTTATTGTGTCTCGGTAACGAAAATGTAAAATACTTGGTTTGTGCGATCGCGGATGTTATTTCTTATTTACTTACCGGTGAAAAGATCTTTATAAATCTTCATAGTGGAAGATGGAGAAAGATTCAATTGCAGCTAAAAACTAAACAAGACACGGTCACCCAAAAGAGCGCACCGGAAAAGAAGGAGACTTTGGGAGACTTTGGCGTCCTCGATGATGATCTGGCGGGGGTCGAAATCGAACAGTTTTGACTCTTGCTAAAGTCACTAGATCTATAAAGTACCACAAACTCGGAACCATTTCGACGCGGCCATTTCAAATTTATACATTTGTATATACGTACTTTATTTGGAAAAATGAAGCCATCGAGTATGTAAATCAATGTTTTTTTGGTATTCACAGTCGATTCTTATATTTAAGACCGTCTTAAGTATAGTTTTAAGATGCCACGAACCAATCAGAGGGCCGAAAAGCGTCTTAAAGCATTACTTAAGACGATCTTGAAATAAGAACTGACCATTGCTGGATTCACACTGCATCCGATTTTCGTCGTACGACGCTC